AAGAGCCAAGAGAAAGGGCTAAGCAGAAATTCCCTAAATACCCTTTTGTTCACTTAAAATAAATTATGTGAATATAACAATGCAACTATGAAGCATTATTATTCAAATACGTGAGATCCGTAATAATAGGATATTGTAGACATCCTGAAATTTGCACAAAAATTTAATGCTGCAAGCCATTTTGAGTCTTATATTGATAAAAATCGAGAAAATTCATTGCTGGTGAGAGCTGGCAATTATTCCACATGAGATGGAGACACAGGCCCCAGATGGTTTTGTAGATTCACGTGAAACTGGAGGCTGCTTTTAATTAAAGAAAGAGCTTTCAGCAGCAATGCTTTCTGAAGTTAATCCCACTCCGTGCATCTTACTTGCACCCCTTGGCACAACATGGCACCTGCCTTAGCTTGAGCAGCCACAATGTGAACAGGGTCAAAGAACTGATCCATAAAAACAAGCAGATAAATGTCAAAACATTATTGCTGATACCAACTTTGTCAAGTACAATCACTGAATGCTCTTCAGTTTTGGAAAAACAAGGCCGTTAACTGTGATAGTCAAGCCTATCAACACAACTGATAACTCAAAATCCTAATATTTTACAAAAGGATAGTCCTCAAATACCCTCTTTCACTTGAAGTAAGGTTAGAAGTAAAATTCTAAGTGGGAGACATCTGAACTTCAGAGTCAAGAATTCACCCTCACGTTTACAGGAACCATTTGTGGTACATCATAAGTATATCCACACGGATTCCCTTTTTTCCTTTGGAGGAAACTCAGAAGCATCCAGAAACACAGAGGGGAATAAAACAAAACGAGAAGCTCTGAAAGTTTACTTCAACATTTTGAAGTCATTTAGTTAATGAGTCATAGAAACTTCCTAAGTGCATTGATATAGTTTGGTTTAGGTTCTTGCCTTCCCAAAAGGCCATTTGGACACAAATGTCACAATCACACAAAGCTTCAATTTAGGCAGAACAAAAATAGTTTACAAGAAAGTTCTTTGAACTCTAATCAGAAGACAATAACTTCAGGAAAAAATATTCAGATTACTACAGAAGGTAGCTGATTAAAACCATCCTTGTCACTTCCCATAATAAAGCTTCCTCAGCCACCATGCTTTGAAGGACCTTAACTAATTTTCAACCACAATAGCTTGAACAATTTCAAAATTACATATTTTTCTATGAAAAATTAATATTGAGATTCTAGAGATTCTCCAGTTTGAATAAACTTTGTAAGGCTGTTGTTTACACAGGATTTTTAAAAGTTATGACATATTCTGTACTACCAGCTACCACAAATGGACCTAGACATGAAGAACACTTTCCATCTAGCCAAGAAAATTTAACATTCCTGCTTTTCACATTTTGGTTTAATTCATACTCTCTAGCAGAAGGTGCTTTAATATGAAGTCAACAAAAGTTGATTTCACAGAAATTTGAGCCACTGGAATATAAACTTACTAAAACAGCAGAATCAAAAAAATCTGACAAACAGAAAACTTGAAGCAAAAATTCACCAAATGAGCTAATTCACTGTTTCTAGCTAAGTCGCCAGGGTGCCTGTACCTCTGTCCTTAACTCCAGGTAGGTGCTTCAGAGCATCCAGATTAGACCCAAAGATACCTCCTGATCATCCTCAGCCCCAATACGTTGTATGTTAATAGGAGACAATAAGTTCCTGTATTCAAGATTTAGAGCACAGGTTTCTAAAATGCCTTGGTGATCAAAAGTTCATTTGTTTCCCGAAACATTGCCAGGAAGAAGATGTACGGGTTTGAAGCACTTATCCTGAAAGGCTTTACCCGCCAATGCCTCACCTTCCTCCTCTGTCATAGAAAAGGTGTTTGCACATTTTATTGCCTCTGCGCCAGCCTACATGGAAGGCATGACACTGCAGAGCCATTCGAACAAGAATAGTTGTCCCAGGCCAGCTCTACCCAACAGATGTGCTGATGAGAGGGTCATCTCAGAGATATAGGTGTAGCTTCACTTGGTCAGAGGTTGCAACTGCATCTTAGTTCGTAGCTTCCACGTGTTTACTGAGCACCATACCCACCTAGCCACTGTTTTAAGACTACATCTCCCCTTTTCAAGAGCAAAACAACCCCAAACTATGACACCTGCTCAATGTCTAGAAGTAAGACATTCAAAAGAAAATGCAACTGCCAGATAATGGTGTCCTTGTATTTCTCTAAATGGACCAAATGCTTGTCCTCAAAGGGTAAGATAATCAGTTTTTGTATTTTTGTGTATTACCTTAGTTAAATCAATACTCACAGTGCCTCTTACTGTGGGTCTCTCTATTCACCATGAGCAATCCTGTAAAGAGCTCCCACTTCCAAAAACACAAAGCCACATAAGCAGGTACATCTGAGAAGATACTATACAGGCAGTTGTCAACTCACTGTTTTGAATGAGTTCTCTGGAATACTAAGCTTGATGCTTAGAAAAACTGACTCTAAATTGTATCTCCTAACACAATGGTTAATTACTATATGAAGGGCAAAGAACTGAAATTGAAAGGCAGATCCAAATAACAATTTGCCAGGCACTCCAAATATGTTTGCTTTCGCGGAAGCTGAACTGCATGGAGTTGAAAATAACTAAGATGCCTGATCAGCCATTCACATGTACACAGCTGCTGCATATAAAGGACACTAAATATAACAGGAAGCAGAAAAGAATAGGAGCCAGAAAAGTCAGCACTGCTCTTAAAATTTCCAGCTAAATGTTTGTTTACATTATGTTAGACAGTGACAAGACTTCTGCAACTGACATTTTGTTGTTCCGCTTGTGTAAATGCAATGTGTATGGTTCCAGCTATGAAATCCACTCAACTCTAAGTACTCTCTCAGATGAAAAACATCTTAGTAAGCCTTTTACAGTGTCTAATTATATGGTAAGTTTACTAAATGTATTAACTGAAGATCATATCAATCAAGCTGCATGTCCTCTTGGCTTGCCCAATAGCCAAAAGAACCCACCCCATGTGTCCCTGGGAATCTACATGGACAAATTGAGGGGCTAGCCTGTAATGTTTCTCAAACCCTACTTCCTATAATTCTGAAAGGGACAGATCTTGCTTCTGGTAGTGTTTACTACCTGAAGATGGAGGGAGGGCAAGCCCAGAAACAGCCCTTGACACCCACCCCAGATTTACTAAACCATAGCTGCTTGGTGCCTTAAGCCTCTATCCCTCCATGCAGCTGACAGGTTAGCAACAGACTGGTAATACATAGCCAATCTTCAGCCAAGGAATTGCTCCAGAAAATAATCACAGTACTAAGAGATGAAAGGGTCTACTGCTCACCACTGGGACAAAACTCATCTCCCTTAGCATTTATTTCCCAGTTCAATTAAGCAGCTGCCCCTGTTGCTATGGGACAAAGATCCCACGGAGAATCCTGAATTACCTGTCACAGGTAATTCCACTAGGAAGCAGCATGGAAGACCTGGGTGTAGTAACACATGGATATTCTGAACAGCTGAATGTTCAAGTCTTCATTTCCCACAAATCTGCTCTAGGTGAAGTGTACTAGAAAAATTGGGCCAGGTGTTGATTGGATTAGTGTGCACCTGAATACTTCAGGCCTAGATTTCAGGAAACAGCAGTTGGGAGAATGCATATCAGAAGGAACAGCTGAAGGAGGAGTTATACTTGGTCAAAATTTTGAGACATTCAGAATCTAGGAACTTTGTTCAGGCTTGTATCCTTTTGAACCAGATACTTTGTAGAATCACTCAGGTTAAGGAAAGCTCCCGAACAAGAGTTATATATGTACATAAGTTTAATGCTGTTGCTTTGTGCCCAGTTATTTGTGACCATAGCAGGTACCATTTCTTCCAGGGGATCCTCAAGACTCAGAACAGTGGATGGCTGGTGCTTAACAGGTTAACAGCAATCCACGATTTTTCTCCTCAATGAATTAACAGGCCAGGATTTATTTGTTGCACAGGATTGGATGGATGATTGAATGATTTCCTGACAAGCTCTTCCTAGGACTGAGCAGATACTAATTTGTCTTTACAAAACCCCTCCAAAAGTAATTTTAACTACATGCATCATAAGGAGAGCTAAGGAACAGCTAAATTAGAAGTCCAACCCGAGATAGACAGTATTTTCATAGTACTAGTCACTTCAAAAAAATAGAGGTTACATAGGCTCCTACAAGAAATGAAATCCTGGCCCTACTGACTTCACATCCTATTCATCTTGCCAATTAAACTCCTCTCTCTTCTCCCATACACACACTTGCTTTTCTGCTCTTACCTCTTCTTGAGGCTTCTTTCTTGCCTAGTCCTAGTTTTGACCTTGCATCCTTTACTGAGCAGCCCCTGATCTTCCCCACTGCCTCTCAGACTGGCTTGGACTCCTTCCTGCCTGCACAGTAGTTCCTGTTGCAGGATCCATGCTCAGCAAGTCCCATTAGCCTATTCCCTGGCCTCGACCTTCAGCCTGCCTCTTCCCACAACAATCTCAGTTCTTGCTGGTTCTCCAGGGTGTTTACTGCCTCAAACTACAGCTTCTGCCCCAGGTGCCAGGTGTGTTCCTCAGCACCAAGCTCATGGCTGTTTCCTCTGCATTGACAGACAAGGTTCAGGGTGAAGAAAGTCACTCAGGTATACTGACATGTGACTTAGCCCAGATCAAAACCCTCACCTAGACTTGCAATCTGTTCTGCTTCCTGGAGTCAACAGTATGAAAACAGGGCAGGAGAAATTTGTTCCTTTCTAATTAATAGGTTTGTCTAAAGGCAATGTACTCCACATAGCCTCATTTTCACATTACAGTCACAAGCAATTGTGCTGATAGGCTGAAATTTGACAACAAATTCCATGACATGCATCTCTCTGTGTCATACGTAAGCCTCACAAAGACTTATCAGCCAACTTTAAGTTATCAAATAACTACTGAAACTCTAAACCCACAAAGTGTCTGTAAGGCTTCACTCTACTAACACAGCTCAAGACTAGCAGTCACATGTTTAGGCTTACCTTTGCCAGCATCTGGACACTGAACTACTGGGAGATGCTCCCCAAGGGAAAGGAGGGCAAGCCAGCAGCCAAGGCTAGATCCAGCACAAGCAGGGCCCTCACTGAAGGCACAGTCCTACAGAGGCTGGAGACAGCACAGCTGGGTGCTGGTAACAGGATTTGCCAACAGTTTCAGGCACTACAAGGGGATAAATCAGGCCCAGGAAGTGCAATCAGGAACAGAAAAGATTAGCCCAGAAACAAGACTTGAGACAAGTGCACAAAAGGTTCATCCAGGAAACACAGCAAAGACACAAGATCCATCCAAGAGGATAATACTGGAGACAAGCACACCTCCAACAAAGCTTGGGTGGAGGTTAGTGTTTCTGTGCCCATGGGTGTCTGTGGAGGTCCCAGGTGAAGTTGGTCAGGGCTACTAAGGCCATTAAGACCGCAAAATGCACTGAAATCTGTTTTTAGCTAACCAGGTGAGCACTTGAGGCAGTTCTTCAGGCTCCCCCAGGTGATCTCTGTGGCATATAGTGCAGTCATCAGCGCCGTTTGCATTCCTCTGTGCACTGGTTCCTGTGCTGGCTGGAGGGTTTAGCGTATCCCAGTGTCAGCCTCCTGGGCAGTTCTGCTGCAGTGCTCAACAAATATACACGTAAAATACCTGCAAGTAGTCAGGAGAAAAGATGCACAGGTATGGCTGCACAGGACTACTCATGTCAGGCAGCCAGGATGTTTCATATGTATTTTAATAAGATGGGCAGCCATGGGCCATGCATGTGCTGGAGTGGTCACAGAGAACAGTGGGACAGCTGGGTGTACTCTGCAGTCTGGGGGTCTTTACCAAGCCCAGCTGAAGATTTGCTGTAGGACCCTGCACCCGAGACCCCTCTCACTGCCTGGACAGTGAATCACTTTCTTGCTCAAGAGGTTTAATTCACCAGGTGAGCACTGCTCTGCTCAGAGGGTTACAGGTAGTTTGTTGAGGGCAGGTTAAAGAAAAAAGTAGGGCTTTGTGCATGAGTGGCAGTGTGAGACCTCTCTCACCTCTGTCAGCTGCATGATCAACGACTGTCTCCACTCAGTCAGCTCTTTGCTAACAGAGAGGTGAGGAGTGCAGAAGTGTGAGTAGTGACCCAAATTTATGTGGTACTTCAAAAAATTAGCACTTTCCCAAGCGGTAACTAAGATTTTTTGTACATGGTGACCGTACCTCAGGAGCATAGCAGGTGCCAGGGTTTCTGCTTTTGTGTTAAACTTCTCCTTGGCTTGGAGTCACCTATCGGGATACCTGCCACTGGCACCTTGATGTCAGTCTGTGAGCAGAGCTCACCTAGGTTCTGAAAATACTTGCAGAAGCCAGAAAGTTTTGAGTTTCAGAAGGGAAGCTCCTAAAATGAACAAAGTCCCTTACCAAGCACGCACAAGGTATATTTGCTTAGGGATTTATTATTTGACTGACTAGGACAGTGCTTCCACAAATAAAAAAGTCACATCTGTATCATTACTTCTAACCAGGTGTCAGAAAAATTGTGTGTGCTTAATCCAAAACCTAAAGGGACTGGAAAGAATCTCTCCATTTCTTGACTGAAAGAACATTTTCCTCAGAAAGAGTCAATACTTTTAGCTGAAATGCTGCTGGTCCTCACCCTTTCCTTCCTCTGCATTAAATTTAGTCCAGGCTGACAATTTTGGCACATATAGTTAAAATATTCCCAATTTTTAAGCAACCGGAAATAACATTAATGGAAAGAGTCACCTTGATATCTATGAGACTGTTAGCGCCAGCTGTATCAAAACCATTTTATTTGTGCTCTGATATCAGAATGAGCCCTCTCACACAGTGTTTTTTCTGTTTCAGCTTCTTTTCATAAATATGCAAAATATTCACCTATCTATATTTTCCTTAAGTGTACCACTGCTATGCAGTTTCAGAATTTAAAGGAGAAGAAAAGAAAGAGTGAGCTACTACATTAATTTCCCTTGACTTCTCATTTTGTACCCTTCTGGTGACATGGACAGCTTTATTCTCACTGAAATTAGATGTGCAGTGGGTTAATGAAAAGAGCACTCCCTGGTTCTGCTGTAATCATTTCATTCTCGCTCTCTGACATGGAAGAATTAAACAGTTGTGGGACTTTGTAGTTTTTTATACCACTAGCAAAGAGAGATACAATCATTCTTTTCCCTAGAACCCCATACTTCTGTTTATATAACCTGGTCACTGTATCAAACATTGTTTAATTTTCTCACTTGACATTAACGGCGCACCTACAACCACAGTGTCTGGAAAACTTAGGCATTTCAAATGTAAACACAAATGTTTATCTGATTTAATCTGTACCTTATCCTGGTGCAGAAAGGAATGAGTAACTACTTGTTTCCTTGCATGTTTTCTCCTGCTGCATGAATAGATGAAGAATTCTTTTTCTGGTATGTTTTGTTTTGCTTAATGCTCAGCTGCAAGGCTATTCTTTATGGGGTCTAGAATCCTAGAAAGTAACACTGTTCCCTGGGACACACACTGGCAGATATTTCTGCCCTTTGATTTAAAACGGCTGAATCAAGGATTTCAGTTAAGAGGTGAAAAATCTGGGTTTGTTCTTGAAAAGAGCAAAGAAAAGTAGCAAAAAAAACCCACCACCAAACAAAAACGTATAGAGGATGATGTTTCCATGCACCAATGAAACCTGAGATCTTTCTAAAGGTGTGAGCACCAAGATTTGGAGGAGTCATAATCCTTTATGTTTTCCCAGAAGCTGACAAACTGAATGAAACACTTCATTTCACAGCTGAACTTTAACAGGAGACACCATATCTACCATGCATTATTAATTGCTTGCTAATGAAGTATAAAACTGTATTTGTGTCACCACATTACTTCAGACATAACTGTGAGCAAAGCCTCTTCTTCAGATTGCTTCTATTATGCGTCTATTGGTAATTTGGAAAGCAGTTTGACTAAAATTAGTTTTTCAGTTGAATCAAATAATTTTCCAAGTATGTGTGATTGCCCTTATATATAATATTAACATCAGTAAAGAAATTAAGATGGGAAGGTAACACTCTGCGGTACAGACTTACCTGGCTGTTGGATTATAAATCACCAAAAAAAGGTAAAGAAAATTGCACCAAGATCGGCTTGGTTTCCTCTTATGTGTAATTAAAAATAATCAGGAAATTAATACTTGTCTGTTGTCCTACTTACCACTTCATTCCCTCAGTGTGTGGTGCACAGTTATCATTTGGAGTATGGCATGAATTTTCACAGTGCAATATGTAAACGTACCGTCAAAACCTCTGCCACAGATAAATAGTTTCCTGGCAGTCTCTGAGCTAGTGGCTCATTTGTGGGAGAAATTTCTCCTGCAGGTTTTAGGGAATGCTAAAGACCTACACACCTAGACTTGATAGGTCTCATTCTTCCATTCAGTCTGTTCTCATTCTGCATATTAGAGAGGCTCACAAAGACAGAAAAATCAGAAAAAAAGTAGCTACCACATTTTCCCAACCTACTCAGCAGTAGCACATCAGTTCCTCCAAACCTTCCAAGGGAAATGAAGGTTGAAGCTCTGACAGGTGTAGGGGTAAGGTGGTGGCATGGCAGAGTCTCGGACTCACACCCTGCTTACAGGATGTAAGTCTCCCCCTGCACACCATCAGAAAACCTTCTGTGATAAATTGGGCACTGTGCTAAGCTGTCAACAGCAAAGCACCTTGAGGTTCTCCATCTGCATGGGCACTGGCAGCATTAAATGCTGTTGACAGCTTCCTTCCCAGAGGCAGGGGGAAGATATTTTCAGAATGCAAGGCAGTTTTATTATGTTCTTCTCTTAAATAACTTTGAAATACTTTTGTCATTTTTGGAAGTTATTCATGCCTTCGGAACATAATCCTGTTAAAACCAGAAGGGTGGCTCAGGCTCACAGGCTGCCAGTATTTTAAAAGACAGCTTAAGAACTGAGATTGCTGAGGAAATAAAAATGACAAACACAATGTCCTGAGCTACAGGACAGCTCTTATTTCTTAAAGTTTCTTATTACTAAGAAAGAAAAAAGAAAAGAAAAAAAAGAAAAGAAAAGAAAAGAAAAGAAAAGAAAAGAAAAGAAAAGAAAAGAAAAGAAAAGAAAAGAAAAGAAAAGAAAAGAAAAGAAAAGAAAAGAAAAGAAAAGAAAAGAAAAGAAAAGAAAAGAAAAGGAAAGGAAAGGAAAGGAAAGGAAAGGAAAGAAAAGAAAAGAAAAGAAAAGAAAAGAAAAGAAAAGAAAAGAAAAGAAAAGAAAAGAAAAGAAAAGAAAAGAAAAGAAAAGAAAAGAAAAGAAAAGAAAAGAAAAGAAAAGAAAAGAAAAGAAAAGAAAAGAAAAGAAAAGAAAAAAAAGAAAAGAAAAGAAAAAAAAAGAAAAAAGAAAAGGGAGAAAGGGAGAAAGGGAAAAGGGGAGAGAGAAAGAGAGAGAAAGAGAGAAAGAGGGAAAAAGAGAGAAAGAGAGAAAGAAATAAAGAAAGAAAGGGAAGAAATAAAGAAAGAAAGGAAAGAGAAAGAAAGAAAGAGAGAGAGAAAGAGAGAAAGAGAGAAAGAGAGAAAGAGAGAAAGAGGAGAGAAAGAGAGAAAGAGAGAAAGAAAGAGAGAAAGAAAGAAAGAAAGAAAGAAAGAAAGAAAGAAAGAAAGAAAGAAAGAAAGAAAGAAAGAAAGAAAGAAAGAAAGAAAGAAAGAAAGAGAGAAAGAAAGAAAGAGAGAAAGAAAGAAAGAGAGAAAGAAAGAAAGAAAGAAAGAAAGAAAGAAAGAAAGAAAGAAAGAAAGAAAGAAAGAAAGAAAGAAAGAAAGAAAGAAAGAAAGAAAGAAAGAAAGAAAGAAAGAAAGAAAGAAAGAAAGAAAGAAAGAAAAAGAAAGAAAGAAAGAAAGAAAGAAAGAATTATATTATAAAATATACAGCCATTCCTCCTTAAAAGTCACTTCTGGGTCTGTTTATTAGCAGAAGAGATTTTAGAGACAGACAGCTATCAAATTTTCTAGAGTCTTGGGGAACCTGACTGATAGTCCCTTAAGAAAGTCATATGAGGAATGAAAACGCAAGCAACAGAACATATTCTTCCCAGCAGTGTTAGGGGGGTACATGGCAAATCCCAAGCATGCATTTTTGTACCCGGTCTTGATTCAGGCTTCTAAGGTTTACTGCAGAAATAATGACTTTACTGTTTCTGATGTCTATTGCCAATTTCTCCTTTGAAAAGTGTACTGAGTAAGAAAAGGCCAAATCTCCCTGGCTAAATTTCTTTGGTTTCTGTCTTCTGTA